TTATGTCTTTAATATATCTGGAATTCATATAATTTGAAGTAGGAACTTAACTTTAAAAAAATGGATGCCAAATAGCTCTATTAATTTTTGATAAGTGAATTCTTTAATTTGAAAAGCCACATCCACCAAACATTAATGTTTGTATATAACAAATGTCTGTATATATAATGTCTGCATATAAATCCTTCTGGTTTTGCACCTGTAATTTTGTTTCACTGGTGTATTAGTTGATTCCTGTGTTATACTTTAGAGTATATATTAATAAATTATGTAAAAGAAAGAACAACCTGTCCTTTGTTCTTTTTTCAAAAAATTCTTGGCTATTGAGAATTATTCTTCCATGTAAACTTAAAATCAGGTTTTCAAGTTCTATAAAATTTCATTAAAAATTTAATTATGACTTACCTTGACTTTATATATTAATTTGTAGAAAAGTTTTTATAATATTGAGTCTATTTAGTTTTTTATTTTTGTCTTTCACCAAATTTCTATGATGTTTTTTAAGACTCACTCCTTTATGCTCTTACGCTATTGTTAAAGTTTATTTCCAGGTATTTAATACTCTTTCTTAATAATAGAGATTTTTTCTCCCTCACAGTACTATATTTAACATTTTTCTCATGAAATTAATATTATCATATTATATATAATAGGGAACATTGAGAGAAAAGTATGTAATACTACCCTATTACAAACACTTATTATTTAGGAATATTTCCTTCTAGACATAGTGTGACCAATCAAAAAATAAGATTTGGTAACCACACTGCAATTGTTTAATTCAGAAATCTAAGATTGCCCATGAAACATACAGGCAATTTGATTATTAATGATGTATAGTATTTGTTTTTGCTAAAATTAAATCCATGTAACTTGTCTTTAAGTGCTTTTAAAAAATGTTTTATTTTTACCCCTCAAATGACAAAGTGATAATGCTCAATATAAAAATGTTAAGATTGAAATATACAAAGTAGAAAGATAAAATTCTTTGTATTTGTCCCACTTCCCTTGCCTCAACAACACCAACTACTGTTAATAACATGGTACTTATTTTTCCAGATAGTATTGACAATATTCTAGATATAACATTTTTCTTTCCCCACTTGCAATATTTTGTTCCATGCCATTCTAAGTTAATCTACTTTTTTTTTTTCATGGTTACATGGTATTTTCCACAGTATTTCCTTGAATAGGTGTTCAAATTTTATTTAACTGTTCATCTGTTGATGGCTACTTGGGTTTTTATTATTTTTCCCATATAAAACAATTTTGTAATGTATGCTCTTACATAATGACCCCCTTGATTGAGTACTTATGTAGCTAAATTTCTAGAAGTACAATTGATTGGTCAGAAGATATGCAAGAAGAACCTTTTAACAATATACACTTCAAAAAGGTGTAATTGCCCTTCAGAAAGGTACATACCCCTTTAATCCTCTACTAACACTATGAGACTGACTGCTTCCCCAAACACCCTCACCAGGACTGGGCATTACTGATCTTATGATTGCCAAAATAAATCTGTTTTGATCTGCATTTAATTACTAACAACCTTATATTTATTCTTCACGACACTAAATTAATTATGTAGAGAAATGACTCATTAAACCTCTAGCCTGGAAATGTTTTTCACTCATACTCCCTATAGGTTTATAACATTTTATACATTTTATATAATATTATCTATTTATAAATATACAAAGGTACTTCAAAATTTTGTGGAAAAATAGAATTAAAAGATAATACAATCTTTCCATAAACTTTTTGAAGTACCCTCATATAAGTAAATATGCATACACATAAATAAAAGTAGTTTTTTAGCCATCCTATGGCTGCCTAAATCCTAACAGCTGGTATTTTCAAGTCCTATGAAATTTAAGCTTACACTCTCTCATGATTATGTTTGTAACTGTTATGGAAGTTATTTCTGTAGTTAGCTATTCCTTTTTTTGAGAGTAGAAACAATTAATTTCAATATTTTCATTTCTAGTGATTGTGTGCAGAATAAACATCAAACCACTTTAACTACAGTGATGTATCTGCTGCAAGTCCTAATAATGAATTGCTTTTGATAAGGGTTAAATGTGTTTCCATTTTGGTCCGTATGTTACCCTTAAAGTTATATATGAACAAAAACTAAAGGAACCTGGAAGATGGCCTAATGCAGTTAAACTGGGTGGAGGGTGATAGCTTCTGCAATGAATAAAGTGAGTACACATTTTAATGGGAATTTCATGAGCCTTCCCTGTAACTAGTTGTTTTAGTCCACTGTGTATTGCTATGACAGAAATAACCTGAGACTGGGTAATTTATAAAGGAAAGAGGTTTATTTGGCTTACAGTTCTGGGACAGCTGCATCTGGCATGGGCCTCAGGCTGCTTCTACTCATGTTGGAAAAACAGCAGGCAGCTGGTGGGTACAAGCAGATCACATGGCGAAAGGAAGCCAGAGAGAAGGTGCCAGGGTCTTTTTAAGCATCGAGATCTCACGGGAACTAATCGAGCGAGAACTCACTTATTAACCTCCCCTCCCCCAGGGAGAGCATTAATCCATTCATGAGGGACCACCCCCATGACTCAATCAGTTTCCAACACTGCCACATTGGGGATCAAATTTCCACATGAGTTTTGGAGGGGACAATACATCCAAACTCCATCACTAGTGCTTGCATGACAACTTCCAGTATGAGTCAATGCCATAAAGTGCCCTCTGTAATGTAGGGATACTGTTGTTTCCCTAAGAGCCTCACAGTGTAGCTGCTTCACTCACTGGAATACAAATTCGAGTATACAGAGAAATTTAGCACAAGAATTGCTAACATTATATACTGTGTTAAATTGCCAAATACTTCATAACTAAGAAAAAAGTTATGAAAGACTGTGATAAACTTGGGCATTTCTCTCTGTGATCTCTCCCCTTGACCAATAATTGATAGTTTGCTTTGTCATCTCAATCTTCAGTCTATTAGGCTGTAATGTCTATTGCAATTTGATTTATAGTTCAAACAAATAAAATTAAGTTTATTTTATTACTATCAATTTCAGCCCCCTTTTCAGAAATAAAGTAGTTTGTAACAGGGAACTTCATCAGGGATTTATTAGTGGTTAATTAATGGATACTTCAACATCTTGTACTTTCATTTGCTTAATATAAACTTTGCATTGGTTCCTTTTTTCAAATCTGATACTAAGCCTTCTCACAAGTTGCAAGATTTTGTAGATTTTATAGGTAACAAACTGAATTTGGTGCCAAGACTTGGTTTTAAACCAGGGCTTCATTACTTAGCTTTTTGTGATCTTGGTTTTAAGTCAGGGCTTCATTACTTAGCTTTCTGTGATTGTGGGCATTTTTAACTTCTCTGAGAGTCCCTGTCCAAACTGGGATAATAATGGTACCTATCTCATGGGGTTGTTATGAGGATTGAACAAGTAGCTGGCACACAGTAATACAAATAAAAAGAACCTATTTGTTTACTGTTACCTGTAAAATAGAATCTCTGCAAGGTAAAATATACAGTGTAGGTTTTTGGTTTTTTCCCCTCTTCCCAATCATCAAATAAGAAATTATCACATACCTGTGACAGCTGAACAGAAGTGAACATAAATGCTTTATTATCTTAGTTTGAAATCACAGTCTATTAAAAAGTATTGCTAAATACATTGAGATAAACATTATACTAAACAAAACCCAGAAATAAGCACTTTATTGATGTAATAGAACTTACCAAAAGAATTTGTATTTTTCAAACATCCATGTCCAAGTTTAACCTCTAAAATTTAGACCTTTGTAGTTATGCCTACAAATATAAAATAAAATGAAGAATTAAAACAAATTATCTTCATCGTTTAGTAACAACCACTCCTGCTTGACATAGCCTAGTAAGGCTTTCAAGCTGGAATTATGCAGCCACATTTTGTCTTCATTAGAGCAGTCCTGGAGTTGTCTAAGGGAGATAGAGATGTTAATTCCTAGTCTCACAAATTAACATTAAAGGGTTTGACAAACTTTTACATCCCATGGAGTGAATTTTAGACCCACCTGCTGAGACAGTGATAGTTTTTTCATTAGGAATGGATTAGAAAAGTTGTATTGATGAGAGCTTTCTTTCACTTTAAATGAATTTCAAAGCAAGGTGGAGGATGGATAGTCAATAAAGGGCAGAATCTCCTACAGGCAAGTACATCTAATATGCAGTCCAATTCATAATTAGCCTTTTTGCCCAAAGAGTCCTATCATTTGGTTGTCAGCCTTAATGAAGAGATTCGAGATTCTGTAATGTGAAAAGAATGGTCTGGTCACTAGGTGTGTGCCAAAAATGATGTTCCCTTCTTCACACTGGTTATTATGCTTCTGATTTTCACAAGCCTGTACCTATAATGTAAGCAAACTAACAGAACAAATGCTACCTGCTAACTCGATGATAAAAATACTTCAAACTTTCCAACTTTACACCCGTAGCCCACAAAATCTATCCTCACCACAAAACTCTTTAGAACCCACAAGGGAACAGTGTGATGACTTTGACAGTAAACATTTTTAAATTACATTAAAATGAGAAAAGTTTTAAAGGTTTAAAAATGAGGGGTTTTTTGCTGGCTGGTAAAGGGACTGAACCCCAGACCTTGGTGTTATCTGCATCACACACTAACCGAGCTAACTGGCCTAAAAATGAGTTTTCTGATGAAATTGCAAAAGCTTAAAATTCCACTGTAAAAACTGACTTCAATACTTTCATTCAATTGCTATATATACCTTTATGATTTGTGTACTTTTCTGTATTCTATACTTCAAGAGAATTTTTTTTTTTAATTGTCAGGAATTTTTGTAATAGCCAAAGCCATGCTATGATTTATTTGCAAATTGTGATTTTTGTGATAAGTCAAATAATTGAAGATTGAAAATTTAAAGGGTGATGGGAAAAGTATTGCTGACCTTGGTTTTTAAACACTGACCTTTGGAAAAAATCTCTTTTAAATATATCTCTTTTTTTCTTTTTATAGTTCGAGTACGCTTGCAAGACTGACGGGATTACAGTGGTATGAATATGAAGGACTACTGAAGAATTTGAAGGACTGTACTATTTGACTTTAGACCTCTAGTAAAGACAAGAGTTTCTGAAAAAAGCACAAGGCACAGAGATTAGAGCGGCCATATGAACATTTCTGCTTTATGGAATGGCATTAAGCATGTAAGCCAGATGTTGCATCAAAATTAGTACAGGCCAAATTCTTGGTTAGAAAAATCCTACCAACTGTGACTTTGATAGTTAAAAGATGTTTTATTATACTTTCAATTAGCTACCACTAACAACTTTTAGACTTTTTATACACATATTTTTGATATGCGGCCTTTGGGAAAGGTACAGTTAATAAAGTTTATTTTTTTATGAGGAATTTTTAAATTCTTACATTGTTTATTCTCTTTGCTAAATATTTAAATAAAGTGAGTAAAGTGAAACATCCCTTCTGCTCTATCTTTTTTATGCACAGAAGAGAAACACACATTATCATGCCTCAAACTGTTTATTTGCAACTACATAATTTCACGCAATTCTTCCAAACAATGACATAAAATAGATTTCCTTGTGTATAAATAAGTTACATACTCTCCATAAAGTAAATGCTCAAAGGTGCTAGAACAGATCGTCCACTCCTACAGTGTTCTTATAGCCAACAAAGTTGATGCACAATATATAAATACTCAAGTCCAATATTAAAAACTCAGGCACTTGACTAACTTTAATAAAGTTTCTCAAACTATATCAATATATCTAAAGTGCATATATATATTTTTAAGAAAGATTATTCTCAACAACTTTTCTATAAAAATAAGTTTGATGGTTTGGTCCATCTAACTTCACTACTATTAATATGAACTTTTAATGTGTAGTAAGGTTTAGTCTACCTTTCTCTCAACATGACACCAACAGAATCAAAAGGAGCTAGTGAGGTGGTAACATGTGAGGATTAATCCAGTGATTCCGGTCACAATGCATTCCAGGAGGAGGTACCCATGTCACTGGAATTGGACGATATGGTTTATTCTTCCTTCCCTGATTTGGATAACCAAATGGAACAGGAGGAGGAGGGTAGTGACTCTGATGGCCATTCCCTCGGTACATTCCTGGCTTTTTTCTGGGCAAAGGGTGCCACATTGGAAGAGGTGGGAATATCAGCTCTGAAATCTGTAGAAAAGAGAAATCATTAAGTTAATTCAAAGGAAAAATTAGTTATGTGTTAAGATTAAGTGACCTTCCAGACTTCTCATCAAAGACAGACAAAATCACTCACCCACTACCCTAAGACTAGGTCTAAGTGACTTTTTTTTTTTAAAAGATGACCGGTAAGGGGATCCCAACCCTTGACTTGGTGTTGTCAGCACCATGCTCACCCAGTGAGCCAACCAGCCATCCCTACATGGGATCCGAATCCGTGGCATTGGTGCCATCAGCACCACACTCTCCCAAGTGAGCCCCAGGCTGGCACCCTAAGTGACATTTTTATGGTCAAGTCTAAGTATGTTAAAAAAAAAATCCCTCATGTATAACAGATAATCAATTTTTTCTGAATGAATACAGAAATGAAAAAATTCAAGCATGGCACTATAAAACAACTTCAACGAGAGAAGATAACATGGAATGAATGGAAGCTTGTAAGGTCACATAATAGACCAGTGGTTTCCACAGCTGGCTAAGCAAGGAGTCACTTAGGGAGCTTTTAAACACAAAATGTCCCATGCCTCAGCCCTGGTATATTGAAAAATAATAAAATCTTAGGAATAGAGACCAGGTATTTTCATGACGCTCTCCAGCTGATTCTGTTATAGCCAGTTTAGTGTTTGTTAATAACTGTCTTAGATTATACTATAAGTCAGGTAGGCACCTTAAGTTCACAATATTCAAAATGTTTTTATCATCAGTTTTATCATCTCTCCCCAAATGCAGCAGCTGTGTGCATTTCTCTGCTTTTTAATTTCCCCTTCTAAGTAAAGGCATTTTTTTTTACTTATATTTTGTAAAGAACTGCATTCATATGATGGAAAATTCGAAAGGTACAAGGATAGTTTACAGTGGAAAGTCCCTTATCATTAACTGACCAGTCTACTCAATTACCCTTCTCAGAAGCAACTGACATTAATCGATTTTTTGTGTATACATTTAGAGGTAGTCTAAGCATATATCTGTGTGCACATTTATACACACATTTTTTAAAAACATTCTATTTTGTACTCTGCTTTTTACATCTGATAATAACACATTTCAGAGAAATTCGTATCAGTACATAAAGTACTGATAATACATAACTACAGTTAGACAGTATTGCAATGACTACGTCATAACTAAATAAACTGGTCTCCGACTGAAGGGACATTTAGGCTGCTTTCACTCTTTCACTATTGAAAAACTGATGTACAACAAAGAAAACAATGCTACAGCGAGTAAGAGCACAGTTACTTCTCATATGAGGATTTGTAGACCTGTATTTTCATTTCTCTTGGTAAATACTTAGGAGTGTAATCGCTGTGTAATAAGGCAAATGCACAATTAACTTTGTTAAGTACCAACTTTCCAAAATGGTTGTACCATTTTCCAGTTTATGAATCTAGCTACTTCATACCCTTGTCAACATTCGGTATTGTCAGATTTTTTAATTTAGCCGTTCTGGAAAATGTAGTATTTCATTACAGTTTTAATTTGAATTTCCCTGATGACAATGAGGTTGAGCACCTTTTCATTTGCTTACTGGTCATTCACATAACTTCTTTTGTATAGTGTTTACTCACATCTTTTGCCCATGATTTTTAATTAGGTCATTTGTTTTTTACTACTGATTTATAGCAGTGACTTTAAAAGTACATTCTTGAAACAAGTACTTTACAGATATATGTAATGAGAATATCTTGTCTCAATCTCTGGTTTGCCCATTCATTTCCTTAATGGTTTCTTTAATGAGCAAAAAGATTTTTAATTTTCATGAAGTCCAATTTATCCATTTTTTTCTGGTTAATGCTTTTTGTGGCCCCTGGAAGAAATCTTTGCCTATCTTGAGATAATAAAAATACCTCTGTTTTCTTCTAAAAACATCAGAGATTCAACTTTTCTGTTTAGGTCTATGATACATCTCAAATCAATTTTTTTGTGTTTGGTGTCAGACAGCAGTTAGGTTCATCTTTTTTTTTCTTATATAGATTATCTAATTGTTTCAGCACCAGTTTTTGAAGAATTTCCCCGTTGAATTTTTTTTTTTTTTTTTTTTTTTAAGATGACCGGTAAGGGGATCTTAACCCTTGACTTGGTGTTGTCAGCACCACGCTCAGCCAGTGAACGAACCATCATCCCTATATGGGATCCGAACCCGGGGCCTTGGTGTTGTCAGCACTGCACTCTCCCGAGTGAGCCACGGGCTGGCCCTCCCCGTTGAATTTTTTAGTTACTTCTTTAAAAAACAGAAAACAAAAAACCCCAACCGTACACATATGGGTGTATTTCTGGACTCTACTGTTCCATTTGTAGATTTCTGTATCCTTAAACCCACGCTGTCTTGATGAATATAATGGCTTTATATTAGTGTGAGTCTTCCAATTTGATTCTCCTTTTTAAAAGTTTTTTATCTATTTGTCACTTTCTAGAAAAAACCTTCTGGGATTTTGATTGATTTGAACTGAATCTATACGTCAGTTTTGGGAGAACTGACACAATCTTCACTTCTTAATTTGTGAAGAGCTGTCTTTGGGGGTACCTTTCAGAAAACACTGAAAAACAAAGACACCAAGCTAGGATTTATCTGTCCTTATTTGATAATCCCTTTTAAAACTCTTGGCAATGCCAGATTCAGTAAAAAAAGTATATAGGAAGAAAAGATTAAAGTGAGCCATTTGCAGTAGCTTTCTACACAAGAGCTTGTAATAGTGCTTCTCTGTTATGAAACATTTTGTTAATGAGTATAATATCAAGAAGAAATGTTTTTCTTAAAAAGAACATGAGACACCTTGATTTCCATGCCTTTCTGTTATTCTAATAGTCTTTCAACATGAGGGAAAAGAAATCCAATTTAACTTTAGAAGAAAACCTAAAAAATTAAAGGTCAATTTACTTGTAAAAAATTAGCAGCAATCAATTTAATTTGAGACTGACTTACATGTTTGATTGGTTAAATAACAAACAAAATTCTGAGGTAAAATTACCACACATTTGAGTGAATTCCCAGAAATTTAATTAAGGGAATTTGCAATATATAACACATCACAGAGAGAAAAAAAAATGCCACAAATATTTATTACAAGTTTTAAAAACGACCCTAAAATACAAGTATTATGTTTACTTATCTCTTTAAGGAATCTCTCTGGAAGGATACCAAAAAACCCATAAAACTTGGTGATGTATACCTCCATGATAGGGCACAAAACTGGTGGTGAGAGGAGAGGGAAAACTTCTCACTATTATACTCTTTTACACTGTTCTAAGTGGGTTTTTTTGTTTGTTTTTTGTTTGGGGGCAGCTGGTCAGTACAGAGATTGAACCCTGGACTTTGTTATCACCACCACGCTCTAACCAACTGAGCTAACAGGCCAGCCCTGTTTGAAGTTATATAAAGCAAGTGCATGTTATATACATTATAATGTATATGATAAAATATGATATTCATCAGAACTAATCTTCCCCTCAAGCCTAGGAATGATAATTCGACAACTGAAAAAAAAGGAGAAAAATCAAAAATTAAGTTACACTGAAATAATGTTCATTACATGAATGTATACTGAATTTATAATTTTAGTTGCTCATACTCAAAACTCTAATACTCTGCTTCCTACTCATTAGGTCTGAATTTTCATTCTAGCCCAAATCCAACCCTACCATAAACTTGGTATATTTCACTATGTCTTCTTAAGGTAAACTAATAAAAATAGGTACATGTGAAAATACACTTAAAATTAGAAATAAGTATATGTACAGAATAAGGCTCAACTCAAAAGATCTCTGAATTCTTTTGACTTTAAAATAACTCTTCTACTGGCCAGCCACCAAAAAAAAGCTTTTCTGTTGAAGAGTATTGTTTGGCAAAAAGTATATTAAATGTTCTTTGGTATGTGGATACAAATAAATAAGTGAATGAATCTGTAAATGCATGCACATTAGCTATATGACTCGAACTGCTAAAGCAAAGAAGATACACTGTTTGGCTTGAGTAAAAAAATGAAGCAAAACATAATTTAGTGAAGCTTCTCTTTAACCACGGAAAGAGAGAAGAACAAGAAAGTTAAATCCAAAGGTGTGAATTGGAAGTGTTCGATACTCCAAAAAATGATTGGCAATTTTTGACTAAAATAAGAAATTTTAAAATATCAGGAACATTTTATCATCATGACTTTTCTATTTTGCCACAATTTTTGAAATATATTTATCCTAGTTATTGTGTAGTGAAGCAGC